GTAGCAGAATCACAGAACCCACGGATGGACTAACAGTTACTAAAGGGAAAGGGACTGTGGAGGATGGGTGGGAATGGAGGGATAAGGGCAGGGAAAAAGAAAGGGGACATTACAATTAGCATGTGTAATGTGGGGGCGTACAGGGCGGGCTGTACAACACAGAGAAGACAAGTAGTGATATTACAGCATCTTACTGCGCTGATGGACAGTGACTGTGAAGGGGTATGTGGGGGGGACTTGGTGAAGGGGGGAGCCTAGTAAACATAATGTTCTTCATGTAATTGTACATTAATGATACCAAAAAAACAATGTTAAACAAAATGCACCTGTATTTCTTAGAATGTTGGTTAAAACTCACAGCATGGTGCTGAATTCAAAGCCAAAGCAGCATAGTGAAGGGAACAAGTCTGAGCTTTGGAGTGAGCCATGCCTCGGTTTGCATCAGGCTCTGCTACTTACCTGAATAATCTCATGTGAATTAGATACCATACTGGATCCTTAGTTTCCTCATCTAGAAAAGAAAATGGACATAATAATATCCACTTCAGAATTGCTTTGAAGACCAAATGGGATAAATTACATGTAGAGATCCAGCCCAGTGACTGGCATTTATTCTGTATGACAAGCACTGCCCTGGACCCAGAGAACTAGCAGTAAAGAAAACAGAAAAACATCCACTTCTCCTTTTGAAGTCCATAGTCTAGCAAAAGAAAGAAAATAATCACAAAAATCACTACATGATTACTGCGTGGTAAATAACAGAAGACTATAGGAGTATTTAATGCATAAAAATACTTTATAAAGTATACATATGCATTTGCAGATACACATACTTCCATCTAAGACTGATCAAGCAATCAGTTTTTGTCAAATCTAGAGCCATGACCTGGGCCCTTTCTCACTGTAGCATTTCCTCTTTTAAAATTATGCTTTATAAAAGTAGTGTTAATTGGAAAAAAGGTGGTGGAGTAAAAGTAGTGTTTATTGAGATGTTTATAGACCAGCTACATTTACATAGCAATTAAATTTATAGTCGAATATAAAAAAAAGTCCATGGTGATTGAATCACAGGTCTGGAAGGGAACAGAAGAGGTCATATAATTAAACAGTCACCTTCTGGACAAGTTCCCACCTTAAAAAATATTAAATCAGATATCCTTCTTTTGTTGTTTATTTAAAATATATTTACACCTGATCCATACCACAATACTGATGAAACTTGAAGACATGTTAAATAAAGTCAGCTGTACACAGGATAGATATTGCATGATTCCCCTTATATGAGTTACGTAGAATAGTTATACTCACTGAGACAGAAAGTAGAATTGTGATTACAAGGGGCTGGGAGGAGGGAAGAATAGAGAGTTGTTATTTAATGGTTTAAATAATTTTAGTATGGAATGATTAAAAACTCCTGGAAATGGATAGTGGTGATGGTTGCACAACAGTATGAATGTACTTAATGTCCCCATTTAAAAATGGCTAAAATGATAAATTTATGTTATGTATATTGTAGTACAATACTGTAGTAAAATATACATAACATAAAATTTACATGTATGTATTTACAAAGCATGAAATTGTTAATATTTGTTTTTTTTAACAGGGATCATAGTGAAGAGAAATATTTTCCGTTTCTGTGTAACACATCTCTGGTTTAAATTGTTTACATGGATGTATTACTTTTATAATTTGTAATAAATTTTAAAATAAAATTTACTTTCAGGGTTGAATCCCTATAACTGTGTAAATATGGAAAGATAATATTCATAATATGCACAAAAGCTAATGCTCTAATATAAAGAACTCAATTTAATTTTCTTTACTAATGAATGGTAAAGAACAATAATATAAGAAATAAGGCAACATGAGGGGCTTGCAGGCACCTTAACACAAATGTATTTCCAAGGATCCTCTTATCAGGGGCCCACCCTTTACACACAGTGACTCCTGTTGTTACAGTCAGGATAGTGAAGCCTTCTGTGGAAGGTAAGCCTAGACAGATCTGCTCAGTGCTAACCTTCACGGGACATCTGAAGGTGGGCAAGGAATCAAAAGAACTTTAGTGTTAGACTTGGGAGCAGGAGAAAAAGGACTTGAAAGAACTAATGGTCCCGTAAGGAAAGTAAGCATTACACACAAAATCTAGGTTCACGGACAGATTTCTTAGAGAATTTGGTGAGAATGTCACCTCACAACAAGATATTGCTTGGCATAAATATGTTCTAGTTCTAGGACATAACCAAGGCAAAACTTGAGTTTAATGATGGTCTTGAAGTGGAATTTTTCTTTTAGGGTAACTTTGAGCATCAAACAAACATTAAACTTAGGGAGTGATGTGAAGACAACGTGTTTTTTCACCACTTTTGCAGGAAGATTATAGGAAGTCTGTTGGTTGATCTTACTGACTTGGAGGGGGATGAAGCAGAGTGTGGGCAGTGAAGAGAGAGACGGCAGGAAAATTTATCCCCTGACCAGGAAACCCAAGAAGGCAGATTTAGTCCTTTCTTATCTCCTAGAAACATATAAAGGACGTTGTGAATTCCTAAATTCTTCCTTTTGTACTCAAAAACCTGAAAGAGCACATGCATACATAGTATGGAGGTATTAAATATTCTTCTAACAATTGTAATTATTCAAATCTCTTCTACAATATAAACTTATATCTATAGAAAAATTATTAACATTCACTTATTATATTCCAACTTGAGGTCTTTTGTTTAGATATTCTCTTAACACTTCTGTATTATTTGAGGATTTGAACAATGAAAATATTCTACCATTAAGAGTTTAACATTTTTAAGTTCTTATTGATTGCCTAAGGGAAGCATAGCACCCCAAGACACACTAGGCTGCCCCCCACACCTTTCATCTAATTCTCAATAGGACCCAGAACTAAACACACTTCAGTCTTCATCAGCATGCATTAGTTTATCTTAGCTCTAACTTGGAAAAAGGGTTCTTCAGGACTTCATTTATTACTCCACAGTGTCTAGAATGATGCAAACTATATTCTCAGTTCGTGGCCTGGCAATTTTTTCCAGGTGATTACTGATACAGGTATAATTTCCTTGAAAAACGGGAGGGCTGCAGGTAAAGTCTGTCATTATGGCAGAGTCTGCTGACTCTTAGAATTCAATGAAAATAAATTACAGTACAAATTACAGTATCTTTACCTAACATCATTCAGGTGAGGAAAAAACTCTTCTTTTTTGAGGACTTAGTCTCTGGGTTTCTTCACCTGTAAATAGCCCTTTGGGCTTTCAGTGCATGCTCTTTAAGGCAATCATAAAGAAACTAGAAGTAACAGTCTGTTCTTAGACTAGCTCTTATGAGGTGTCCAACGTCAGTATCTTGCTTTGTTTACTTGAGCCCTTTTTACAAAGCCACATTTTGGATTATATGTTTCTTCTAGTTTCCTTTGGAAAATTATCACAATTGTGTGTATTTCCCAATGAATGGAATATTTAACTATAGACCATATGCATATGGAGAAAAAAATTACTATTCAGTAGTCTTGTTAAGTTTATCTCATAGCACAGGGTGGGAGCTTGAAAGATGCTTTCTGCTTTTTCACTTACTGAATTCTCTTTATTTCTTGATTGAATTCAGCCCACTGAAAATGGCAAAGAAAACTGAAAGATCTTTATTTTTTCAGTTTTAATAACCTCTGAAAACAAAATATCAGTGCCCCTAAAGATAATTCAATCACAGTTTCATTCAATACAGTTCTCTAAAAAGTTAAACTGTATCTCTTTATTGCATTTTGAGAAAAAGGGTTTTTTACCTGTTTTTTCTTGGAGAGGAAACAGAATAAACATATATGAAAAATATAAACATATACAAAAATTTACATGTAATTTAAAATTTTAGAAGATGGAAAAGCCAAATGAAACCATCTTTAGCTGTCACAGACAAAAAAAATAAAGAGCTCCAAAATAACTTGATCTGGAAACACAAGCTCCCTGCACTCCAGCCAAGGATTTCAGTAGAACTTTATAAGCTACCACTACTATGCAAATTTTGGATCATTACACATATCAATGGGGGTGGGGGACCAGAAAGAATGCTGAGGAAAGGACAGTTGAGTTAGGATGGGGCAGATACAAAATCATCTGCATAAACCTTGCCAGAGGCAGTGTACTGCTTTACTCTGCAAAGGAAGTGTGGCATCTAGTGGACATTTTGTTTCTGCAATCCCTTCCTGTATTTTGCAGAGAAAGACGTGATCTATGATGGATCTTTGTGGTTTAACTGTTGTTTTGTTGGTGTTGTTTTAAATAAGCCATGTGCTCATCTTCTATGTTAAGTGTCATTTTTAACTTGGCAATAAATTTCAAACTGTTTACATGTAAAAGAAATTGTTTAGAATCTGTAGTTTTACAAAGTGATTCTCAACTGAGTGTGCTTACATTTTATTTTGAAAAATATAGCAATATGAGATCCTTAAATTACGTTTACATGAAATAAAGTTCATTTTTGTTTTTCTTGGAATATTAAGTTTCATAAAATATGAAATGGTTTAAGAACGAACAAAAAAGTTAGTATGCAAAATGTATTGCTTCCTATCATGACAATCTTTTACAAATCAGATTTTTCAAGTAATAACAGAGATGTTGAACTTGAAATTCATAGAGTTCTAAGGTGCACAGTTGACTTTATTTTGAAAAATAAAATTATAAACACGTTTCAAGTTAAGTTGAATTTAATTATTCACTGGTAAAATAAACAGTTGGATATTGTTCCAATAAAAATTTATTTCTGAAAATTCATCATGACTTAAAATACATTAATTTACTAGATTAGGGAGTCATGCTTCAAAATTTACCTTTGCTTTCTTGTTAAGTAAGTCAGGTGTTTTAAAAAATATGTAAAGTTACTGAATTTTATTGTTGTTAACAACCATTTGATCAATAAATATGAGAGATGCCCTCTCAAAAAAAAAAATATGTAAAGTGTACAATTTGGTATTAATTATCAAGTGCTAAGCAATTTCAAAATAGTTTAGTGCTTTCCTATGAATTGACTAAGCTTTCAAGTTATTAAAGACTCTAAGCAACCTTTTGCTCTACTATAAAATATTATTGGTCTAATATTGATTCTTCAGTGTTGCCTTAGAGTTGCATGTATATCCTGACAGAACTGGCCTGTTAACAATAGGAAACACTGAAGGATAATTTGTGAGTTTCAGGTGGGCAGTCTGAAATGGCTTGGGTTTTTCACCACTTGTGGGAATAGATTATATTTGTGTTCATGGTTTGGTCCCCCCTAGTGGACATCAAGTAGCACTGTAAATTTAAAAATTTAACGTAATCCAGGGGTCAAAGTAATACAGACTGGTTTTAAATTCAGCTGAGGGAAAAGAAGTGATTAATACCTGTTATATGTTCGAGACTTACAGTACACACTCAACTTGCTATATAACCATCCATTGTTCAAAATGTGGGTAAAAGACCTTTAAATTATCTGTAAATCATGGAGAAAATTATATACTTCCAAAATGAGTATCTT